ACCCTGCCACTCACCACCCTGGGAGCTGAGCTTACCTGGGCTCTCTGGACTCCGAGGCCTGGGAGAAGCACAGTGTACAGCACAGCCCCAGGTGTGACGGTCTCTGGCACATAGATGAATTCCCCAGCTGTCCAGAGAAGAAGTCAGGGAGGCTCTGCCAGGCCATGCTTTCCCTCTCCCACCTGCCGCCCCTAGCCTCACCTGGGCTGGCAAATGGACCAGCACACCGGATACGACCAGGGTCCCGCAGCACATGAACAAAGAGTGGTCCCGCCAACATAGAGTTACCACATGTGAACTGCAGCTGAAGTTCATAGCGGTTCACTGCAAGGGCATCCAGCCAAGCAGAGGGGCTCAAGGTCACCTGTGGTAGGGTGGCAACAACACGCAGGGCCTAGGCGCTCTGTCTCTGGAAAATCCCTTCTGCCTTTGGCCCTCACAATTCCTAGTGGTACCCATGACCTTACTTTTCCCAGGTAGATTTCCTTATTACTCCTGTACAGGCTGGGTTTGTTGAAGAAGCTGGTGGGGGGTCTCACACTGAGTAACTCCAAGGTGGCCATGTAAGAGGAGCAGTTGAAGGGCAAAGGTGGAAGGGCAGTGCCAGGGCCTTGGCTCTCAGAGATATCTATGGACCAGGGTAGGCTGTGGAGGACTAAGAAGAGAAAGCCACATACAGAAACAGAGCAATACCTTTTTCTTCAGGCCCTGACCACATCTTGAGGTCAAGCAACCAAAGTCCTTCCTGCCTCCCACATCTGACATTTTACAGGTAGGGAGAGAGAGAACTTGAAGAAACAGTCAAGATAAGGAACAAGGGTAAGGGGTCCCTCAGCCTCGGCCTCCCCCCACACACAGTAGCTTATCTAAATTTCAGAAATTCACTGGGAAACTGGAGTCCCCCCACCCACCTGCTCCTCACCAGAGGTAAGTGAAGCAAAAAGAAGCGCCAGGAGCCTGAGCAGCGCCATGGGAGCCTAAAGAAATGGCAGAGGGAGCTGTTTGTCTAGCTAACTCTGTTGCCAGGTTAGTTGCTTAAACATAACTGAACATAGCTGTCAGGCGGGCTTCCCAGAATGCAGCTCCTCCTCCCGGCAGACCGAGCTTTGGACCCCTGGCAGGCTCCAGGAGGGGCTGGAAAATCCCACCTTCTGCTGTTTCCAGTGAATTCTTCCATTCATTACTCCAACCCTAAGGGGATACAAGGGTAGGAGGCTCAGCTACAGATGGTGAAACTGGTCACATTGTCCTTGGAGACAGAGCAAGTACAGTGGCCAGGAAAATTAGCCCCGAGACCAGTCACCCCCCAGTGTCCGCATTCCTGCTGCCTCCTCCCACCATCACAGCCTGATCTGCCTGTAAAACCTAAACTCAGCCACCAAGAAAACCTCCCAAAAGTCGTCTACATTCAACAAACAGAAGGATCCTTTGTAGATGAAATAAAAGCAATGGTTACAGCCAGGCATGGTGGCACACGCCTTTAACCCCAGCAAGCAAATCTCTGTGAGATCGAGGCCAGCCTGGTCTACAGAGTGAGGTCCAGGACAGCCAAGGCTACACAGAGAAACCCTGTCACGAGGGAAAAGTTACCTGTTGGGCTCTCAGCTGGAGGGGACAAAGGACCGCTTCTGAGAGGGCCTGAAGATGTGCTGTGTATTGATCTGCAAGGCAACTGCACAAAGCTCCTCAGGTTAAGGTTTACTGAGCCAGTATCTTTGAGATTTGTCAGTTAATTATCTTATTTAAAAAAAAAAAACTTTCTGAAAGAAGGTCTCTTTGTGTCATCCAGAGAGTGGCCTCAAATTAATTCTCCTCCTTCCCTCCCACGTCTCGTGCAGGAGTTACAGGTCTTCACCAAGGTTTAGCATTTTTTCAACTTTTCTCCTCCTGCTCTCTCTAGACTTTTATCACTCTTTATTCTAGTCACGTGAGTAGGCTCGTCCCTGTCTCCACAAAACTATCCTTGTCAGGAACCTCAATGACCACTGATTTTCTTTTACAAATTTAATTTTTTAGGGGTTTCTTTTTTAAAGATTTATTTATTAATTATGTATACAGGGGTCTTCCTCGTGTCTGCCTGCAGGCCAGACGAGAGCACCAGATCTTCTTACAGATGGTTGTGAGCCACCATGTGGTTGCTGGGAATTGAACTCAGGACCTCTGGAAGAGCAATTAGTGGTCTTAACCTCTGAGTCATCTCTCCAGGCCCCCCCTTTTTGGTTTTTTTGTTTTGTTTTGTTTTGTTGGCTTTTTGGGGTTTTTTTGTTGTTGTTTGTTTTGTTTTGTTTTGTTTTGGTTTTGGTTTTTCAAGGCAGAGTTTCTCTGCAGCTTTGGAGCCTGTCCTGGAACTCATTCTGTAGACCAGGCTGGCCTCGAACTCACGGATATCTACCTGTCTCTGCCTCCCAGGTGCTGGGATTAAAGGTATGAGTCATCACCGCCTGGCTTAATTACTTTTATTTTCTATGAGAGTGCTTTGCCTGCATATATTGTGTGTATCATATGCATGCCTTGGCTCACAGAGGTCAGAAAAGGGTGTCAGATTTCCTGGAATCAGAGCTACAGACGGTTTTGAAGCACCATATGGTGGCTGAGAATCAAAACCAGGTCCTCTGAAAGAGCAGCAAATATTCTTAAAGACTGAGCTATTTCTCCAGTCTCATTATTTTGTTAATTTTAATTATTATTTGTGTGTGAGTGAGTGAGTGATGTGTGATGTATAGGCAAATGCCATAGCACTTATGTGGAGGTCGTAGGACCATTTCAGGAGTCAGCTTTCTCTTACTCTGGGATCCAGGGATTAAATTCAGGTTCTTAGGGCTTTTTTATCCAATAAGTCATCCCACCGACTCTATTCTGAGACAGGACTTCATTATGTTGCCCAGACTACTTCTGCCTCTGCCTCCCAAGTAGTTAAGTCTACAGGCACATGCCACTGCACACTCTGAAGCCAGAAGTTTATTCTTCTGTGTGTAAATGGAGGTGTGTGTTTGGACTGGTAGACTTGTGGAGGCCCGCGGTCAGCCTCGGGTGTCATTGCTCAGGAGCTGTTCACCTTGGTTTGCTGCTTAATACAGAATCTCTCACTGGAGATGATCATCCGGGCTAGGCTGCCTGCCAATAAGCCTCAGCAATCAGCCTGTGTCTGCTGCTCACACTGGGGTTACAAACCCTTGTGGCTACACGTGGCTTCTTCACATGGGTCCTGAGTAGCCTCGGGGTTTCACCCTTGTATGGCAAGCACCTCACTGGTTGAACTGTTTCAGCCCCAACCCCAGACGTCTGTGCTTTGCCCTCACTCCTCCAAAGGGCTTGCTGCTTGCTCCCTTTGACTCTAAATACGCATGCTCTTGCAGATTGCTCCGCACATCTCTACTCTTGTCCAGCTTTGCGGCTGCGGCTTCACCTTTCTTACCTCCATCCAACGAAATATTTCAGGGCACGAAAACTGCTCACTGCTCCCCTCCTTTACATTCATCACCTCCACTCCGGAAGGCCATGGCCTAAAGTACCACCCCCTGGCGTTGACCTCCCACTGTAATCCTCCAATGTTCCTCTCTCGTGGAACTCCACAGCCCTACGCCTACCTGCTGACCCTGCATCTCCTCAAGGCTCACATGTCCATAGTCATCATTTGCTTTTCTCCTAATCTTTCAGACTTTTTTAAAAATATTTTTTAAAGATTTATTTTATTTTATTTTTTCTTATTTTTCAAGACAAGTTGTACCAGGCTTTTTTTGGGGGGCCACCAACCAGCTCTCAAATGATGTGAAAATTTATTATTAATTAGGAATGCTTGGTCTTAACACTTATTTTAATCTGTTTATCTTTATCTATGTTTTGCCTTGGGGCTTTTTACCTTTCTTTTTTGTATATCTATTCTGTGTCTGTCTGGCGGCCACTTAGCTTCTGGCACCGGGCATGTCCCTCTTTTTCTTCCTCTTTCTCTTCTTTTTCTAGCCTGAATTTCTCTTCCTACTTAGTCTCTCTACCAGCCAGCCCCATCTATCCCTCTCCTGCCTAGCTATTGGCCCTTCAGCTTTTTAGTAGACCAATTAGGCAGGCAAGGTGAAACAAACATAACACATCTTTACATTGTTAACAACAGCAGCTAAACATATGTAACACTTCTTTACACAGTCCAAGTAATATTCCACAAGTCTCTCTTTACTTTTAAATTATTTATTTTTAACGTGCATAGGTGTTATGCCTACATGTGTGTCTGTGAATCATGTGTTTACAAGGCCTGAAGAATCCAGAAGAAGGCATCAAATGTCATGGAACTAGAATTATAGACAATTGTGAGCTGCCATGTGGGTGCTGGGAATCGAATCAGGATTCTATAGAAGAGCAATCAGCATTCTTAACAACTGAGCCATCTCAAGCCCTGGCTGTCCTGAAACTCACTGTGTGGACCAGTCTGATCTTGAACTCACAGAGATCCTCCTGCCTCTGCCTTTCAAGTGCTGTGATAAAAGGCATGCACCACCATGCTCGATTTATTTTTATGTTTTAAGTATATGAGTGTCTTGCCTGGTGTACCCATGTGCAGAAGAGGGCAGAGGACCCCCTGGAACTAAAGTTAGAGAAAGTTTTAAGCTGTCATATGGGTTCTGGGAATCAAACTTGGGGTCCTCTACAAGAAGAAGAATCAGTGCTCTTAACTGCTGAGCCATCTCATCTCTCTGGCCTCTCTTTCCAGTTTTTTACTAGATTATGATCTAGTTACATGTGTGTAAATCACACAGCCAAAAGTTTCTGCTTTCAGAGCTGTCCTTTTACCTGCCTCTTCCTTCTAGGGTTGCCTTTCCAACTCTAGACCAGATCGTAGACTAGGGTCCCTTCACTTCTTACATAGCCCTTTAAAAAGCAAAGCAAAACTCAAAAGATAAGAAAGCCTCCCCTAAGTATTTAGGCAGCAGTTGCTATAACTACCCAGAGCTTCGTATTCATCCCTTTAATAATTTTCAACTAATCCCATTTTTACATAGAGGAGTCAAGCCTGCTTGAATCTGGCCCACATGCTCTGTACCAAACTACATGGCTGTGAGATCAGCTTGGGTTCTCTTCCATCTTTGTGACCACCAAGACCAGCCACAAAATCTGATGGAAAAGGGAACAGGAGATTCTACTGGATGTTTTTAAAGGCAGTGTCATCCAGCCAGCTGTTCAGGCTGGAAATGTGGACTCCATGCTCTTTGTTCTTATTTTCCTGCATATATATATATATATATATATATATATATATATATATATATA